CAATCCTGGCACATCGCCCGATGAAACCGGTCGCCGTTGTTTGTAATCACCGGCGAAACGTCACCGGCACTCGAATTGTAAATGCTGTTGTGGGTTCACTCTCCCCGACACACAAGCGCTGTGTGTGCTGAAGTTGGTAACCAATTGGCACGTTTCGTTTACGTGACAAACCCTGACTGATTGGCCGTGTCAGGCGATGGTGGTGGGTGGTGGTGGGTTAACGACACAATGTTGATATTTACGAGATCTCTAACCCAACAACAACAACAACAAAAACCAAACCTCTGTCACGGAAAAGTGTTACCGCAGAGCAAGTCGCTCCGACCTCCTGGAGATACCGGTGAAACAGGCTAAAAATTAACCCGTAAAAACAAAGTTTTTCACTATAAATCCTTTATATGCGTGGCGGCTAGAGTCCTCTCGTCCTCTGGCTTGAGATGGCTGCCACCTATGGCTCAGATGGTTGCCTGCCACCATTAAGCAATTGGTAATTAAATACAATTTTTTTTTTCCTAAAAAGTGTAAAATTTTGGTAAAATTTTTTCACGAAAATAAATTGTCACGCACAACGAGTCTGTGTGCAAAATGTCAGCTCGATTGGATCACGGGAAGTCGGTTAAAAAACGACTGAAAGATTTGCACGGTCGTGAGCGCGCAAGCAAGCAAGCAAGTGAACTTAATATAAAGGATTTAAAAATAACCCCTGCCCCGATTAAACCCGGATATAGTTTGGCCCAGGCCAGAGTAGACCCGGGGGATAAAGTGTCCTAGGCTAAACTATACCCGGGGGTTTAAACTAGACTGGTCCAGACCATACCCCCCCTCCAGGGCAGAACATGCCCCATGTGAAAGTTCAAAGGCAATTATCCATACAGAGAACAGCCGACAACGGACTTCAATCGATATCTAAAAAGCGTATAAATGGAAGTAAGAATCTCAATTTGATCAATTGAAGCATTTTTAGGGTTATTATCAGTTTTTCTGGTTGAAGTAATCAAAGTCTATGTGTTTACAGTTTTAAATAAAATGTTGGAAAAATTTAGTAATTCATGTGTATATCACAAATACCAGCTATTAAAGCAAATCCTGGAAGGAAAAATCGAAGGGAAAAAACGACCAGGACGGCCAAAAACGACATGGCTCAGTAACATCAAAACATGGCTACAATTAACAACAGCACAAACTCTACACGCCGTGCTAGACCGGGACCAATATCATCGTGAAGTCGCACACGCCGTTAGGCAGCACTAAACAAGAAGATATCGCTCAACACTATTACTATCATGGGGGTATGATTTGGCCTAGAGGGGTATAATTTGGCCTCGGCCATGATACACCCGGGTACAATGTAGCCTAGGCCGCTTGAACCCCGGGTAGACTACGGCCTGTTGCACCGGCACGGGCTGTGTGAGCTGGGCCGCCTTCACAACCAACGAGACGCCGCCGCTGCCAATTGGGACCAAGACGGCAGCGCTGCCTCCACCGGTCCGGTGAGGTCATTCTCAACAGGAGATTTTTGTTTTTCGATTTGAAGCTTTCGTGACTGCAGGGATTCATATTGTTGGTTCTTTCGGTAGAGTCACGTAGAAGGGAAGTAATAAAATAATAAAAATAAAAGATAATGAAACAAAATATAATAAAATATTTTATTATATTAAATTATTGTTTTATTTTTATTATTTTATTACTTGCCTTATAAGTGACTTATATAATAATATGTTATATTATTATATTATTTTATTATATCATATTATTTTATTATGTTTTATTCTTATTATTTTATTACTTCCCTTCTACGTGCCTTTACCGAAAGAACCAAGAAGAGATTTTTTTTTCGATTTGAAGATTTCGTGACTACAGGGATTCATATTCTTGGTTCTTTCGGTAAAGTCACGTAGAAGGAAAATAATAAAATGATAAAAATAAAACTATACAATTCTCACGACGTTTCGATTGCAACGCAAGCAATCATCATCAGGTGTGAAAACCACAGCAATATTGTTTTTGTTGTTGTGGGTTTTCATAAACTGATGATTGCTTGTGTTGCAATCGAAACGTCGTGTTAATTTGATTCTTACATTTTTATTATTTTATTATTTCCCTTCTACGTGACTTTACCAAAAGAACCAAGAATACAGTAGATTTTTATTAATCATTTTACTTTTCCAGGTAAGGCCCCCACTGAGCTGTGTAGTAGCGACCTGGCTATCACAAATGACAGCAGCGCACCGAAGTGGCTTATCACGTGACATTTACAGCAGCCAAATACTCTGAACACATGTGGAGATGTTAACTACCTCTCCTGGTATACAGGAGATCGTGTGTTTGATTCCGACCCTGACGCCTGCTGTATATTTTGAGTTTGCGCGTCTCTCTCTCTCTCTCCCCGTGGTCGTGTGGATTTTCTCCAGGTCCTCCGGTTTTCCCTCGACATTTAGAATCGAGATCACGCAATCAGAGTATTTGGCCGCTATAAATGTCCACACAATGATAAGCCACTTCGTTGAGCTTTCATTTGTGATGGCCAGGTGGTCGCGTCTGATAAAAGAGCTACTACGTATCCAGTTGGACCTTACTTGGTAGAATCCCAAGATAATGTTTGTTAGTTTATGTATATATATCATTTTAAACAGAATCACAAACTAACGCTCAACTTTCTTAAACGTGCAAGAGTCAACGCGCGCCACCACCGTGCGACATCACGCGAGCAACCGGGACGCAGAAAATCTCTCAACCCTTTCCCGCGTCCGAGACGTCTGCAGAGTTGCAGGGTCGGTGGGTGTCACCGTTCACGGGGTGGGTGTCACCGTTCACAGGGTGGGTGTCACAAGGGTGGCACAGTCGGGTTTTTTACAATCGGGTTTAATTGTCTTTTTATATTAAACCCGATCATCTAAGATTGAGAGAAATCCGGTTTCATTGGTTCTAATTGCAGAACCGCACTTCTCAACGATGGGCTTCATCCATTCCAAGCTAAGGAACTCACTGGCGCCCACGATTGTGGAGAAGCTCGTGTTCATTAAGACCAACCTGCCCGCCGCATTCTACGACTACCCCGTGCCCGACGGCCCCGAGTACCATAGCAGCACCGACGAGGAAGCAGCCTAAGCCTATCAGAGTTTCGTATTCATTAAACCAGGTTTTAATTCCCCGAAATCGGGTTTAATTGTGTTAAAGAAAAAACCCGATGCCTGCAGCTGGAAAAATCGGGTTTTTTCCACCCATGGGGTGTCACCGTTCACGGGGTGGGTGTCACCGTTCACGGGGTGGGTGTCACCGTTCACGGGGTGGGGGTCAGGTCACGGGGTGGCTGTCACCGTTCACCGCAGCAGTGGCAGCAGCAGCAGCAGCACTGCTGTTGTTGTTATAAAGACGTCGTTGCTCACCGCAGAGAAGCGTAGCGACACGACCGCCGCCACTCTGCGCTAGCCGGCGCGAAAACTGTGCCACACTCCCTGCCCCGCGTGGCCCTGTGGGAGCCTCGGTACCGATAATGTTGCTTTAGTTTTTACTGCGTTTTGTTATTCCGACGACGACGTTCACGCACGGCGCGCGGCGTCGTCGCGACGGCAAAGGGTTAAGTTCACGCTGGGAACATTTTCAACGGGGGAGGCAGCAACAACACGCAGGGTGATCCAAGTGCAGATGCCCCAATCATACCTACACCCCCCTCCCCCAACGCCCTCTCGGAATATTTTTTCAGACCGCAGGAATCCGATGAGCTATGAAGCTCTTCTTCGCAGATCTCCAGCCGTTCCACAGATGTCCTCTCCTAACACCCCCCCCCACCTCCTCCCCGTAGCTTTCCTCTCAGCGGCAAAGTGAATATCGCGCAAGCGATGGCTCAGGGCTACGGGACTGAGTGCACGGAGATTTGTGAGCGGATGCCACCTTCGTCATCGGCCGCGGTTCAGTCTACCGCTGGATGGGTACGTACTGTACGTACTGTACGTACGTCGCACGGGGCAGGGCTACGAGACGGCACGCGGTGCGCATGGAGACCGGCGGGAGACGTGCAGACTGGGGTATCTGTAGGTGGATCGCCCTGCGGTGTCCCCCTCTAGGGTAACAACAGTGCAGCTCTGCACGGGGGACTCTGCACACTCACACACACAGGGACCCCCAGGTGATGGGGGTGGGGGGGGACACGTGCAGTGGTTGGGACCTAGAACTCCGCACTTGCAATCGAGGGGTGGCCAGGTCGGTTTAATCTCCCACCCCCCACAGAGTGTGAGGCAGGTGTAGGAGGGTCCGTAGGTTTCCGTGTTCACATTCAAAATCAGTTTCAAGAGTGGCACAGCCTCGGCTAGTCACGTGGCCTGTTGTTTAAAACTAATTCACAGCTCGGCGCTGTGCGCGTTTTGCTCAGGATGGCTGACTTTTCTGTTTCCACGGGAATGAGAAAATGCATTCTGGCCGGTGTGTGTTCTCTGGTGCCGGCAAAGACTGGATGGGTCTGCAAACACCTTCTCACACACGGTGCACTTGAACGGCTTTTCTCCCGTGTGTGTTCTCTGGTGCCTGTGAAGATCTGATAGCTGTGCAAACGCCTTCTCACACACAGTGCACTTGAACGGCTTCTCTCCCGTGTGTGTTCTCTGGTGGCTGTGAAGATGTTGTAAATGTGCAAATGCCTTCTCACACACGGTGCACTTGAACGGCTTCTCTCCCGTGTGTGTTCTCTGGTGGCTGTGAAGATGTTGTAAATGTGCAAATGCCTTCTCACACACGGTGCACTTGAACGGCTTCTCTCCCGTGTGTGTTCTCTGGTGGCTGTGAAGATGTGATAGCCGTGCAAACGCCTTCTCACACACGGTGCACTTGAACGGCTTCTCTCCCGTGTGTGTTCTCTGGTGCTTCTTCAAGGTACTCTTGTAGTCTGTGCTGTATGGACATTGGTCACACTGATGACTTTTGTTACTGGGCTTAGTGGGGTGTCTGCTCTGCACGTGATACTGTAGACTCGAGCGGCAGATGAACTGACGGTTGCAGGCAGGACACGGCAGCCTTGTGACCTCCACACCCACTCCACCTGCGTCATCCCAGAGGAACAAGACACACGCGCACACACCAACATCTAGACATGAACACTCTTGCACACGTGTGTGTATACACAAAGGTAAAGGTTTCCCACAGCCATATCAGACTGTTGGGCAAGTGCTGTTTGCGAGTACCTATGAAGGCCGGCATGGCACACGAGGGAGTAGGTGGCCAACACCAGGCCCGGCCGCCTTTGTCTCTCCAGTGGCGATGTTTCCACGTTTAAGCTAGGTACTCATTTGAGGCTGAGTCAGCCTAGGGGAGGCCTAAATATTCACCACTGACGTTGGCCGTGAGTGGGAATCGAACTCAGGTGGCCGGGTTCGTAGTGCAGTGGGCTCCATTATATATACACACAAAGACAAAGAACCCCCATATAGCCTGTATATACTTTTGGGACAAGTGCTGTTATGGGCACCAATGAAAGCCAACACGGCACACGAGTGGGAGGGTGGCCAGCACCACACATAGCCGCCTTTGTCTCCCCAGTGGCGATGTTTACTACTACACACCACACCAGTTACTCACTTCCACCTTATCAGTGTGGCTGGTGCCTATCATCTCTGGTGAGTGGTGGCTGTCATCTCTGGTGAGTGGTGGCTACCAACTCTGGTGAGATGTGGCTATCATCTCTGGTGAGTGGTGGCTATCATCTCTAGTGAGTGGTGGCTATCATCTCTGGTGAGTGGTAGCTACATCCACATCTCTGGTGAGATGTCGCTATCATCTCTGGTGAATGGTAGCTATCATCTCTACTGAGTGGTGGCTATCGTCTCTGGTGAGTAGTGGCTATCGTCTCTCGTAAGTGGTGGCTGCCATCTCTGGTGAGTGGTGGCTATCATTTCTGGTGCGTGGTGGCTATCATCTCTGGTGAGTGGTGGCTATCATCTCTGGTGAGTGGTGGCTATCGTCTCTCGTGAGTGGTGGCTATCATCTCTGGTGAGTGGTGGCTATAGTCTGGTGAGCAGTGGTGAGTCTCTGGTGAGCAGTGCTCACGGTGTTCCTCGCTTGGTGGAGGCTGCACGGGCTGCAGGTCTCTGGCGGTGGCCCTAGGAGCCATCTCGCTGCTGCTGCTGCTGCGGCGTCGCGAGGGCCCGGCCTCGCAGGCGATGCCCAGCTCCTGGGCGAACTCCTCGCCGTACCAGACCAGCAGCTCAGAGCCGGGCCCCACGGCACGGAATGTGCGGTAGTAAATCTGCCCCCGGTGCTGGAAGGCCACCAGGTTCTGCTCCTGCTCATTCCTCGCGCAGTTGACGAACCTGCGCGGGCAGACGCGGGGGCGGGGTGGGCGCCGTTAGCGAGCGCCTATTAAGGGCCGGCACTGGGCGCTACGTGGGGGTGGTGTGGCTGGAACCACGCTCCGTACCGGGTGCTCATTTGATGCCGAGTCGACCAAGGGGAGGCCCAGGGTTGGTCTCTGTGTGTAGTGGGTCTGGTCTCTGTGTGTAGTGGTTCTTGTCTCTGTGTGTGGTGGTTCTGGTCTCTATGTGTAGTGGTTCTGGTCTCTGTGTGTGGTGGTTCTTGTCTCTGTGTGTGGTGGTTCTGGTTTCTGTGTGTGGTGGTTCTGGTCTCTGTGTGTGGTGGTTCTGGTCTCTGTGTGTAGTGGTTCTGGTCTCTGTGTGTGCTGGTTCTTGTCTCTGTGTGTAGTGGTTCTGGTCTCTGTGTGTGCTGGTTCTGGTCTCTGTGTGTAGTGGTTCTGGTCTCTGTGTGTGGTGTTTCTGGTCTCTGTGTGTAGTGGTTCTGGTCTGTGTGTGCTGGTTCTTGTCTCTGTGTGTGGTGGTTCTGGTCTCTGTGTGTAGTGGTTCTGGTTTCTGTGTGTAGTGGTTCTGGTCTCTGTGTGTAGTGGTTCTGGTCTCTGTGTGAAGTGGTTCTTGTCTCTGTGTGTAGTGGTTCTGGTCTCTGTGTGTAGTGGTTCTGGTCTCTGTGTGTAGTGGTTCTGGTCTCTGTGTGTAGTGGTTCTGGTCTCTGTGTGTGGTGGTTCTGGTCTCTGTGTGTGGTGGTTCTGGTCTCTGTGTGTAGTGGTTCTGGTCTCTGTGTAGTGGTCCTTCAGACAATAATCACCTCATCCAGTTTGATTTAGATTCATCCTGAGCATCAACATATTCACGATCCTTTTTGTTTTTGTAAATCTGAAACACACACGCACACGAGCGGATCCACGGATAATTAATGTCAGTTGGACTGTAAGTTGAACTTCTTTCGTACCGCACGTAGCCAACCATGCTGATCGGAGGTGCGGGGGAAGGACAACAAACTAAACACTAAAAGCAGTTCTAAAGAAATGCATTTTCAATCTACAAGATTTTAAAGTGCATAGCTCCCAGTGGCTTCCTAACATTGGAAGGAAGAACCTTCCAGACGGCCGCAGAAGTGCATCTGTAAGCGCCGCGCCATGCGGTGACCACCGTCTTTGCTGTGTGTTACAAGTTCAAATAATTACGTTAATTTTTGGGTCTCTCTGTGATTCTGGGGGTCTTTGGGTGAGTCTCTAGGTCTCTGTACGAGTCTCTGGGTCTCTGTGCGAGTCTCTAGGGTATCTGTGCGACTCTGGGTCTCTGTGTGAGACTGTGGGTCTCTGTGCGATTCTCTTGGTCTCTGTGCGAGTCTCTGGGTCTCTGTGTGAGACTGTGGATCTCTCTGTGCGATTCTCTGAGCATCTGTGTGAGTATCTGGGTCTCTCTGTGTGAGTCTCTGGGTCTCTGTGTGAGTCTGTGTGTCCCACTGTGAGTCTCTGGGTCTCTGTTCAAGTCTCTAGGTCTCTGTGCAAGTCTGTGGGTCTCTCTATGCGAGTCTCTGGGTCTCTGTGCAAAGTCTCTGGGTCTCTCTGTGCCAGTCTCTGGGTCTCTGTGTGAGTCTGTGGGTGACTGTGTGAGGCTATGGGTCTCTGTGCGAGTCTATGGGTCTCTGTGTGAATCTATGGGTCTCTGTGCGAGTCTATAGGTCTCTGTGCGAGTCTATGGGTCTCTGTGCGAGTCTATGGGTCTCTGTGTGAGTCTATGGGTTTCTGTGCGAGTCTATGGGTCTCTGTGTGAGTCTATGGGTCTCTGTGAGTCTCTGGGTCTCTCTGTGCCAGTCTCTAGATCTCTGTGTAAGTCTGTGGGTGACTGTGTGAGGCTATGGGTTTCTCTGCATCTCCTTCACGAGCCTCCTCTCCACACACACGATGATGATGTAGGAATAGGAGGAGGCTGCAGCAGTAGCAGCAGCAGCTCACCAGCCAGCAGTACTCGCTCACGGGGTTCTCCTCAGACACCTCTCCCTGGTAGGGCCCAAAAATCACCCCCTTGGGCAGCTTCTTCCTGTTGCTCCACACCCCGAGGCCGGCGCCGGCGATGGAGGAGGCGCCGACGGTGAGGCCCTGGGGCAGGCTGAGCCGGGCCCTGTTGGCCACTCCCGGGGCCACGGCCGCGTCTGCAATGAACTCTGGCGGGCCGTGCACGGAGCACTCCCCCAGGTAGAAATCCCTGCACAGCTCGCAGACTGAGAGCCACAGCAGCAGCAGCAGGAGGAGGGCGAACCGCAGTAGCAACAGCAGCAGCAGCAGTGGCACTGTGAGAGAGTGAGAGGGTGAGGAGCGCTCCAGACAGATGCCTCCTTTCCTCCCTCTCTGCATTGTGAACTTCTTTAGCTCGCTCATCGGAGATGTAAACCCTGTCACCCTCCCTGCTCCCTCCCTGCATCCCTGAGTGAGGGAGCAAAAGACAGGGAGGTAAGTGAGAGTGCGAGAAAGGGAGCGTGTGAGAGGGAGGGAAAGGGAGAGAGAGTGAGAGGGAGCAGGTGGAATATATCGAGTGAGAGCGCGGGAGCAATAGAGAGAGATAGGAGAGAGTGTGAGAAAGTTAGAGTAAGGGGCCGTCCATAAATGACTTCATGCACCTAGGGGGGTGGGGGGGTCAGACATTTGTGACGATGTGTGAGGAACCACAGACAACACGTTCTACTTAATTAAATACTTTTTAATAAATGTTTTCTCCTACAACATCAGACTGCAGTGCCACATTAAATATGCACTACAATGACAATAGTTTGAAGCGATTTTAAGCATATTAAATGAGCTTTGTGACGTCACATTTGAGGGGGGGGTCTGACTTTTTGTGATGTCGTGTGATGGGGGGGAGGGGGGTCCAAAATCGCGTGACGCCATTAATGGACGGCCCTAAGAGAGTGTGAGAAAGTGACAGTGTGAGAGAGAGTGTGAGAAAGTGACAGTGTGAGAGAGAGTGTGAGAAAGTGACAGTGTGAGAGAGAGTGTGAGAAAGTGACAGTGTGAGAGAGAGTGTGAGAAAGTGACAGTGTGAGAGAGAGTGTGAGAAAGTGACAGTGTGAGAGAGAGTGTGAGAAAGTGACAGTGTGAGAGAGAGTGTGAGAAAGTGACAGTGAGAGAGAGAGAGTGAGAAAGTGACGGTGTGAGAGAGAGTGTGAGAAAGTGACAGTGAGAGAGAGAGTGTGAGAAAGTGACAGTGAGAGAGAGAGTGTGAGAAAGTGACAGTGTGAGAGAGAGAGTGAGAAAGTGAGAGAGAGAGTGAGAGGGAGCAGGGGGTCTCACAGAAGAAGTCGTCGTCCTGGGGCTCCTCCACCTCTGTGTAGACTTTCCTCTCGCGCGGGCGCAGGCCGTAGCGAGAGCGAGCGCTGCGCGACACCGCCACAGCCTGGGCGGAGGCCGGCGGCACGGAGGAGCCTGCAGGCAAACACGGCGAGATGTTGACTACCTCTCGTGGTATACGGGAGGTCGTGGGTTCCATCCCGACCCTGACGAAGCCTGCTGTATATTTGGAGTCTGCGTGTCTCTCTCTCCTCCGTGGCGAGATGTTAACTCCCTCGCATGGTCTACAGGAGGTCGTGGGTTCCATCCCGACTGTATAGTTTACAACATGTTACCCTATTTGTATTTTTGTATTTTTAGATTGTATATTATGGCTAGTTTACATTTTATATTGTACACTTATTCACAATTTTACATACTTTAGCCCCTTAGTATTAGTTAGACTTTGTAATTTTAGTATAGTTTGACTGTATACCACTCATTTCAGTTTTAAGATTCCTACATGTTGAATGTATGCACCTTCCGGCCATAGTAAATTCCTTGTCTGTGCAAACTTTCATGGCGAATACCTCCCCGTGGTTGCGTGGATTTTTCTCCGGGTCCTTCGTTTTTTTCCCTCGACATATAGAACCAACGTCATGCGTTGAGAATATTTGGCTGCTATAAATGTCCACGTAATGACGATGATGACAAGTCACTTCGTTGAGCTCTTATTTGTGATAGCCAGTCGCTTCTGAAAAACAGCTACACAGCTCAGTGGGGCACACCCTGGTTGCTAATCCTGCATAATGCACGGGCATAAGTAGTATTAATCACATACCTGCATTTCCCATATCCCCTCCCTTTGATGCTGCTAGTCCTGCATAATGCACGGGCATAAGTAGTACTAATCACATACCTGCATTTCCCATATCCCCTCCCTTTGATGCTGCTAATCCTGCATAATGCACGGGCATGAGTAGTACTAATCACATACCTGCATTTCCCATAAATATGCTAAATGCCTCTTGATATGCATATTCTTTTGTCAAGGCGCTCTTTTCCCCCCTTCCAACCCAGCTTATATATATGCTCCAAGCACGTGTGCTGTATCATTCAGACGCTGTCGCCTCGACAGACCTGGTTTTCACCTGAGGACGGCTGCTTGCGTTGTGGCCGAAACGTCGTGAGAATTGTTTTGTTATGTTTTATTTTTATTATTTTATTACTTCCCTTCTACGTGACTTTACCGAAAGAACCAATAAGAAAAATAAACATCGTTTAGTTCATAGGCTGCATCAGTACCAGCAGCAGCCCTGACAGGAGCACATGTAGCAGTAGCATCAACAGCAGTGGCGACTTCCATCAGCACTAACAGAAGATTGCGGAGTTCCGGTGAGAATAGAGGGGAGCGTGGAGTTCCGGTGAGAATAGAGGGGAGTGTGGAGTTCCGGTGGGAATAGAGGGGAGTGTGGAGTTCCGGTGGGAATAGAGGGGAGTGTGGAGTTCTGGTGAGAATAGAGGGGAGTGTGGAGTTCTGGTGGGTATAGAGGGGAGTGTAGAATTCCGGTGAGAATAGAGGGGAGTGTGGGGTTCCGGTGAGAATAGAGGGGAGCGTGGAGTTCTGGTGAGAATAGAGGGGAGTGTGGAGTTCCGGTGAGAATAGAGGGGAGTGTGGAGTTGCGGTGGGAATAGAAATCACCGCTGCAGGCTACGCACCTCCACGTATCCTCTGGAGCGCCACCCTCAGGGCCTCCTTGCAGGCGGTGGCTCTGCGCTCCAGCCTGAACATCGCCATCCTGGCCTTGTGCACCTCCCTCAGCTCAAATCCCCTGAACTCCTCCTCCTGCTGCTCCTCCTCCTCCACGCCCTGCAAGATGCTCCACACGTACTCCAGGGCTTCCGCTTTAGTCTGAGCGGAGGGGGCGGTGGGGTGAGGGGGCGGAGGGGGTGTGGGGGCGGAGTTGGTGCGGTGACCAGCGGTGGCTAGGAGATGTTAACTCCCTCGCCTGGTACGCAGGAGGTCGCGGGTTCCATCTCGACCCTGACACCTCATCGGATTCCTCCAGTACAATACATATTTTAATTCTGATATTCTGAATCTGTAAATCTGATTCCATACATCAAGCAGAACCATGCCGTCATGCTGAACCTCGGTGGGTATGGCAGGCCATGCCTCTTCACAACTCAACTAATTAATAAACTAATTATAATAATGTAGTGGACACCGTGACGACAGAGACAGTTGAAGTAGAGGCAACCCATATTTATTAACTCTGAGCCCGTTACAGCTTCACACTTGAAGAGGTAACGGCCTCTTCACCCGTTCTCTCAAGGGAGCTAACTCCCCAAGCTAACTCACCGACTCCCCACCAATACTACGACCCTCCTCTCAAGGAGACTACCTGACCTGGCCCAGCCAAGGCACAGGTCCTGACCACCAGCCACACGAATCCGGCCCTTACAAGGACATCAGCCTTCGCGGCTCTGGGGTCGCACCACTGGCTTGCTCTGCCCGGCCTTTAGAAGGACAGCGGGTCAGAGGAGTCCCAGGGTCTAGCTAGCTGGACTTCAGCTGGTTCTTCGTCCTTGGCTTGTTCGAACTAACTCTCTCCTCTCAGAGTCTCGCCTTTTATACGATTCCCCACTGAGGGGCGGGGTTCTGTGGGATCACACACACCCCACAGCCCCCTCCCCTCGGGAGGGGCCCCGGCTAGGGATATCACAACCGCCCCGCACAGGTAAGTAATGGGAGTTAACCGGAGCTGGTGTGCGCGCGTTCCAATACCACCACCACCACAATAATGACGCACGTCTCTGGTATAATTATATAGAAATTACTTTTATAACACAGACCAGTGGAACATTTTTTTGTACTTTTCGTAACAGCTATTTTCATTGGAGTATATGACAGGTGAGGCTCTGCCTCGCCCGTCTCCCCTGACCGCACGTCCCTGGTATAGCAGTGTCTAGTAGTATGTATGTACGTTGAATGTCTTTGTCACCGTACGTAGCCAACCTCGCTAATGGGAGGTGCGGGGGAAGGACAACAAACTAAAGACAACAGCAGCAGCAGCTGTAACGAGAGGAGTGCCGTGCGCTGTGCACAGAGACCTTGCGCTTGCTGGAAGCTGCCCTCGCGTGAGACTCTCCCACGGTGGCCCAGCGTGAAGCAGCCCCCTTGCCTCCTCCTGCGTGAACACACGCACACACGTGAACACACGCACACACGTGAACACACGCACACACGTGAACACACGCACACACGTGAACACACGTGTGAACACACGGACACGCATGAACATATGCAAGGACAAAGCTCCCCCGTATAGCCTTAACAGACTGTAGGGGCAAGTGCTGTTAGTGAGCACCTATGAAGGCCAGAACGGTACACGAGGGGGTGGGTGGCCAGCACCACGCCCGACCGTCTTTGTCTCCCCAGTGGTGATGTTTACACACCGCACCAGGTACTCAGTTGAGGCTGAGCCGACATAGGGGAGGCACAGGACCGGTTCAAATAATCGTCACTGGTGTTGACCGTGAGCGGGAATCGAACCCGGGTCGCCGGGTTCATAGCGCAGCGCGCTAACCGCTACACTACCGCTCCCCATATGCACACGCGTTAACACACGCACACACGTGTGAACACACGGAAATGCATTAACACACACACACACGTGTGAACACACCCACACGCGTATTTACGCATGAAAACATTTACTCACTCACATATTTACCAAAAAGTCAATGATCTCCCCTGTGCCGCCTTAACAGACTGTTGTCACAGGACAGAACCAGGTGCCATGCCATGGGTTGACTGTTGTGCCAGGCTAGGTGCAGGTCACGAGACGGACCCTGCAGGTGCCATAGGTTTACTGAGATGACTGCCAGATGCACCACCTGTGCCCGCGACTGTGCCAACTCGGTCCACAATTAAAAAGATGCCCCGTGTAGCCTTCACAGACTGTTGCGGTCAAGTGCTGTCAGCAAGCAGCATCTACGAAGGCCAGCACGGCACACGGGGGGATGGGCAGCTAGCAACACGCCCGACCGTCTTTGTCTCCCCAGTTGTGATGTTTACTACACACCACTGCACCGGGTACTCATTTTGACGCTGAGTCAACCTAGGGGAGGCTCAGGACCAGTTCGGATCGTCGTCACTGGTGTTGGCCGTGAGCGGGCATTTAACTTGGTTCCGCTGGTGATTACAACCAGCTTCATCAAGCGAGTCTACAGGGGTCTCTGCGTGAGTCTACAGGGGGTCTCTGTGTGAGTCTACAGGGGTCTCTGCGTGAGTCTACAGGGGGTCTCTGTGAGTCTACAGGGGTCTCTGTGTGAGTCTACAGGGGTCTTTGTGTGAGTCTTCAGGGGGTCTCTGTGTGAGTCTACAGGGGGTTTCTGTGTGAGTCTACAGGGGTCTCTGCGTGAGTCTACAGGGGGTCTCTGTGTGAGTCTACAGGGGGTTTCTGTGTGAGTCTACAGGGGGTCTCTGTGTGAGTCTACAGGGGGTCTCTGTGTGAGTCTACAGGGGTCTATGTGAGTCTACAGGGGGTCTCTGTGTGAGTCTACAGGGGTCTCTGCGTGAGTCTACAGGGGGTCTCTGTGTGAGTCTACAGGGGGTCTCTGTGTGAGTCTACAGGGGGTCTCTGCGTGAGTCTACAGGGGATCTCTGCATGAGTCTACAGGGGGTCTCTGCGTAAGTCTACAGGGGTCTCTGTGTGAGTCTACAGGGGTCTCTGCGTGAGTCTACAGGGGTCTCTGTGTGAGTCTACAGGGGGTCTCTGCGTGAGTCTACAGGGGGTTTCTGTGTGAGTCTACAGGGGTCTCTGCGTGAGTCTACAGGGGGTCTCTGTGTGAGTCTACAGGGGGTTTCTGTGTGAGTCTACAGGGGTCTCTGTGTGAGTCTACAGGGGGTCTCTGTGTGAGTCTACAGGGGGTCTCTGCGTGAGTCTACAGGGGGTCTCTGTGGGAGTCTACAGGGGGTCTCTGTGTGAGTCTACAGGGGGTCTCTGCGTGAGTCTACAGGGGGTCTCTGCGTGAGTCTACAGAGGGTCTCTGTGTGAGTCTACAGGGGGTCTCTGTGTTAGTCTACAGGGGGTATCTGTGTGAGTCTATAGGGGTCTCTGCGTGAGTCTACAGGGGGTCTCTGCGTGAGTCTACAGGGGGTCTCTGCGTGAGTCTACAGGGGGTCTCTGTGTGAGTCTACAGGGGGTCTCTGCGTGAGTCGAGAGGGGGTCTCTGTGTGAGTCTACAGGGGTCTCTGTGTGAGTCTACAGGGGTCTCTGTGTGATTCTACACAGGGTCTCTTTGTGAGTCTTCAGGGGGTTTCTGCGTGAGTATACAGGGGGCCTCTGTGTGAGTCTACAGGGGTCTCTGTGTGAGTCTACAGGGGGTCTCTGTGTGAGTCTACAGGGGGTCTCTGCACGGTCTGCAAGCGCCCTTTTACGTTTGCCTCTTCGTCCTCCGTGCATCGCCACCTCCTTCCTCTTCCTCCTCCCCGTCCACTCCTCGTCGGAGTCGCTCGACCGCCCGCACTCCGCTCTATTCCCCCTCGCCCTGCGCTTGCCGCGTGCGCGCATGAACTCGGGCTGGGCCGGGTTCATCCCTGCGCAAGGAGGCAGTCGGTCATTGTTATTTGTACGTATTGGCAGTACACCCGTGCAGCATAGCAACACACCGGGTCCTCGTAACACAGTCCTGACGATGTGATTACTATCAGAGCGTGTTTGTTTGCGTGTTCAACACAAGTACGCGTGGTTAATGCAGTAACTTGATTCCTTGCAAAAAGGAATCATCTATTTGGTGTGTGAACATCTTAACAGCTCCTGTTTTATTGCCAGAAAGGGTAAAACCGATTCCTATTTTTTATACTTTGATTCTGGCAAAAAGGTCCAATGATATAGCTACTCACCCCGAGCTATAAATGCTCTTGACACTACATTGTCTTTGTACTGGTCGCCTTTTGGTGTTGTTCTCTGGTCTGACACTGGTGAGACTAGGCCATGAAGAAGGCTGTCTCTGGGGTAGACCAATCAGTATCAAAGACAATGATTAATGTTATCAGAGAGTGTTTGTTTGCATGTTCAGTACGCGTGGTTAATGCAGTAACCTGATTCCTTGCAAAAGCTATATCTATCTGGTGTTTGAACATCTTAACACCTCCTGTTTCATTCCCATAAAGAGTAAAACCGATTCTTATTTTTCATAGTCCCGACGATGTCGCCGTTGCCCCTTGAGTGAGCTGCAGGACTCTCCATCAGAAGTTGCACTCAGATTCAGCAGCCGCGTCCCCCATTCCGAACGTGCGGTGGCGACACCACGAGTCGTATCGAGGCACCGTCCGACCGAGTCTCTAGGGGCACGAGGAGTCCAATCTTGCCACTGGAGCACGGAGCAGCCGATCGTCATCAGACTGGGCGCCGCTGTACGGCAACAGACTGCGAAGCTTCGTGTTCAGTGCTGCTCATGTCACGTTCCGTCTTCCCACCGCTTTGGCATCACGACAACTGATTTTGACGCACCACCACCACCCCAAAATATCCTTCTGTCTGGGGTCTCGAATCGCGAGGAATAAATAACTTTTGCCAAAAATGTGATGATTATTTCATACAGCGCAACGGTGTACCGCTACTACGTTCATTTATATTATTTGGCTGCTACAATAACTCCAAGCAATACAGTAAACACGATAGGAGTGCAAAGTATAGAAAAGGTAAACAAATTACACACACACAAAATACATTTTTTTGTAAATATTCTTTGGTTCTTTCGGCAAAGTCACGTAGATAGAAAAATAAAGTGAATAAAAATAATCAAAACCACAAAAACGTTCATCCTCACTGATGTTGCTGACTGGTATCTTAGCGCTTTTGAGGGTTGCAGCAATTTCAGATCTTGTAACGTCTGCAGCGATGCGCCCCAAACCCTTAAGAGCGACATCGACCTGGGCAATAACGTCATCCACTGGAATGTGTTTGGGGGTGACTGAGAAGTTCAACCCTTTAGCCAAAACCGACTTTAGACCATCGCACATTGGGCTATTACTCAGATTAATAACAACCTTGTCAACGTCTAACCTTTTAACGTGTGGATCTGGTTTCTTGTTAGAAAGGAGGTTGAACTCGAAAATCAGATCTTTACATTTCGCTGACATTGTAGTGGCTGATTAAGCGGTCATGTTATCTACATGTTCCCAATCAGATGTCGACATTTTTCCCGTCAATGTTAAGTGTGATTTCAAGAGTGTCTTGTCTACATGATCTAGTTCAGTATGGAGCAGTCTAATTCTCTCTGAGATCAGGGCCAAGCTCGCCCTGAACAAAATTCGTCTGGCATTGGAAGATGTGACTGCAGCAGAAATCAGTGTCAATGAGATCGGTATTACGTTAGAGTCACGGCATCTCTTCAGAAATGTGAGTGACTCGATCAGATGAACTTTCTTGTCACGGAGATTGTTAAAAGATCTCATGG